ATTATATTGGAATTGCTGTACAAAACATCGAGCCAAATCATCCCATGTGTGCCAGTTGGTGATATCCTGATCTATGAACCATTCAGATGCAATCCCTACTAAGCTTTCCCCAAAATAGGTCATAAGTAACTCTTCTTTGCCCTCTGCACCTCTCAATTGGTTGCAATATCTCTTTAGATGAGCTTTGGGGTCTCCGTGATCGTCGTATTTTTCAAACTTTGGAGTTTAAAACCAGCAGGCAAATGGACATGAGGAAACATACACAAGTCACTGAACGAGATGCCTTTGTGGCCTCCTAGTCCTTGCATATCTCTTATACTCTGTTCCAAACTCTTCATTTTCTTAGTCATTTCTTCATGTTCCTCATTTTTTACCATCTTCTCAAATTCGACATGGGAGCTATATTGATGAATGTGGGGATGAGAGCTTGGAATTTTAATGGCCTCTTCAAGAGTGTAACTCTGATCACGCCAAACTTTGGGCGGAGGATCGCTGTTGGATTTGGGCACCATCGTTGGCTGCGGGATGCTGTTTGTCGGGGCAGTTGACACAAAGAGTGGATTACTTATCACAGGCGTATTCGAAGGGCGCACCATAGAAGTTCCAGCGACATTGGATGTGTTAGCATAGGGGCCGAATCCAGGGGGATATATTGGATCGCTTGTCGACACCTGGATAGGGTGAGACATATTTGTATTAAAATAGTCTTGGATTGAAGTTGGTGGAGGTTGTCCACTCATCCAAGCCTCGTACATCTCTGCCATTTGTTGTCTTAACACCTTTATCTCTTCTGTTGTCCCTGTTTCTTGTGAAGTCATCTGGTTTTGGATCTCCTCATCATTGTCCGATTCATTTCCGTCTCTGGGGGCCATTTTCTGTTTCCCTTTCGATCTTGTGTTGTAACGATGTGATGCTAGTTTAACCACAAACCAACCACCTTTAAGCTAGTATGTCTCTCTCTTTCTCTCTCTATCTCTCTCTCTATCTCTCTCTCTCTCTGAATAGAGTAATAAACCGATTAGTGTTAAGAAATTATGCACATTGTATCCACATACATACTTCTAATATGGAGGACCTCATGTTTCATCCCGGCTTACCTAGGCATTCTTCTCTTCATTAGTTTTTTAATATTTTATTATTATTATTTATTTATTTACTTATTTGTTTATTTATTTATTATCATTATGATTATCATTTTTAAGAGAAAGAAAAAAAGAAAAAAAAGAAAATAAAATACTAATAATAATAATAATAATAATAATAATTTGGATCGAACCCCCAGGGTTGCCTACGTATCATGTTTGGCCCATGAATCAGATCTTGCGTAGTTCGAGAAAGATATTAATAATAATTTTTTAAATTAATTTACTTTTTTTTTGCATGACATATGCACACAAGGTGACCGAAAGTAAATCTTTTTCATTCATTTTCAAATATTTGAAACAATGACTTGGATAAAACAAACAAAAAAAAAACAGAAGTACCTAGGACTTAGATAGACTCTAAATGAAATAAAATAACAAAATGAAAAGAAAGAGAAAAAACTAATAATAATAATAATAATGAAATAATCACTACTAAGAGAATAGACTCTAAAAGAAACTGAATCCTCGAATCTCAATCCTCTCTAAGGCCCTTATAAATCTTCGCCAGCGCTTTCGGTAGATATGGAGCCAAAGCACGGGCCTGTTGGCCAACCTCTCATCGTTCTGGTGTAAATATCTAGCATAAACATTGTTGAGTTCATCCGTGAGTTGTAGTATTTGGTCTCTGGCTTTATCCATATTGTTATAACAATTCTGTAACCAGTGGTGAGCAGTATTTACTTCATGCGTCAAATTTTCCCTTTGTTCTTGGAGTTCTTCAATTTGAAGGTGGAGTGCATCTCGCTCGGCTATTCTTTGACCTCTCTCAATCTCACAGTCTGCCTGATAAGTACTAAAACGCCTTGCTATTTCTCTTTCCCGTTCCATAGAGGCTTTAACTTGAGTTTGGAGTCTAAACTGTGCGCAGATAAGTTGGGCCTTTGATACTCAATTCCACCCTCATACCATACCCCAAAACTCTACCAACAAAACCCTACTACACACTAGTTCAATACCCAACTATTCACAGGTCCCATCCACTTAGAAGGGACCCATCACAACTTAAGAAAGAAAATTATAACTTAATGGTATCCTCATCCGGATTTATTTTAGCTTGGAGTCAATAGAAGAGATTCCTCTTTGGTGCACCAACATCCGGATAATTAGGAGGAACTTTCTTGGCCTCTCTTCCTCTAGCCACAATAGTAAGACAATCTCTCACCTTATGATCATCTTTTCCACAACCAAAGCACCCATTAATTCCGGCCAGGCACTTCCTAAAACGCTAACACAAGTGGAGAAAGTAGGCTTAACAATTTGAGAACCACCACCTCTCTCATAGTTGGCCTTACGAGCACTAGACTCATCTTGATTTGGAGCCCTATTCTTAAACCTAGGTTGTTTTTGCTTATCGAATCTTCCCCTCTTCAAATTTCTTGAAATCCTACTAAGTTCGGACTCTTTAATGGATTTTGCATACACCATAAGTCTAGATAGTTTAATGTCATTATGGAGCATCATCGTATGACACTCTTCCTTCACAAGGTTGGCAAAAACCGATCGCAAACCTACTCATCTCATACCTAGGGTTAGACACCAAGGATGGTGCATACTTAGACAATATGGCAAACCTCTAAATATACTCTTCAACACTCACATTACTTTGCCTAAGGTTTATAAACTCCTCAACCTTCACCTTTCTCTTCTCACGGGGAAATTACTTTCCTAAGAAGGCTTCCTTAAACTCTTCTCATTCTATATGACCCTACTTAACCAGACTATTGTCTTTCCATTGTGTGTACCACACTTAAGCAACTTCCCTCAATTGGTATGAAGTTAACTCTACCTTCTACCTAGAAGTCACCCCCATAGCACTCAACACCTTATAGATACCATCTAGAAACTCTTAGGGATCCTCTCCCACCTTAGTACCAAAGAACATAGGAGGATTCATCCTCACAAAGTCCCTCAATCTAGAGGTCATGGTACTCTCAAGAGAATTCATCCTAGGCCCACCATACCTATTCACTTGAGTCGTCATGGCTCGGGCTAGGGTAAGGAGAGCCTCTCTAATCTCCCTTTTAGTCATGTCTAGGGGAACCATCGGAAGATCATTCCTTTAATCAACTATAGGGATTTGTTCACCTTGAGGAACTTGTTAGCATTAGGGAGGAACTCCCTCATTGACCACTTCCTCATAAACTCTTCTTGTGGGCGTCCTTCTTGTATTCAATATCCTATAAACACAAGAGAAGAGATAAGGAAAAGACACTTATAACTTCAACTCTATGGAACTACACAAGAGTAATGAAGAAAGGGAAACTTCTATCGTCCTATAGCCTCTCGCTCATAAATGTGTCATGACTCACCACTGATGAACAAAACTCTACTAGGCATGGATTTCATGAGACTTTGAGTCCTCACGAATACTTCATAACCTTATGCTCTAATACAAAGTTTGTAATGACTTAAAAGTACACCTTAGAAGTTAGGGCACATTTAAATCTCCACACGGTGTGCTCGACCTCTTGGAGGTCTTATACAAGACCTTAGACATCATTCATCGTGCGCGCGCGCGCACACACACACACA